TATATTTCAACATATAGGAAACAAACTTATCGCAAGTCTAATTTCCCATCGAGTCATATTTAATATCCTTATGCACTCATCTGGCCTTACTAGTCAATATCGATCTCTTATCTTTTTCTCGATGACTATTTCTTGCCGACTTGTCCGGACGTTGCTCTCGATCGATATCTACACAATCATATATTGGTACATCTCAGTATTCTAACTAGCATACTTTAATCCTTCATTTTTTAAACTAAAAGAAAGGCGAAAATTCATTTTCTATTTAAAGTAGGTATTGGTACCACCCATAGGGTATCGATACATCCCTTAACTGAGGTATCGATACACTACCTAGGTATCGATACCCAAATTACATTCAAAAATTTTCATTCAAGGGGGTATCAATACCATTTTAAGGAATCGATACCCTTTGAATATCTTCCTGAATTTTACTCTTGAGGTATCGGTACCTGATGAATGGGTACCGATACCCCTTGCCCAGAAATCACATTTTAAGCATGAAAATTACTTTATTTCAGCTCAAACACTTCATATTTCTTCCCTTCACATATTCTTAACTCACCTACTCATACTTAAACTCATTAATACTCATTCAATACATCCTTAACTTCAAAATCCAATCCTCTACATAGAATTCAAGAATTATACTCAACTTTCAACATGTTCCAAATCCAATTTTAACACTTCATACTCCTTAATTAGGTTGATGACAAGTCAACTGGAAATCTAATAACTATATTTTCTACCAAGATTTCACTTATTCACTTCATTTCTTTAATCCTTCATATACCTTTCCTCTTGTTGTTTTAGGACAAATAAAGCTTTCCTTAAGCTTAAGTGTCACTTGATAATCAAAACCAAACTTAAATTTTAATTAACAATCCACTAATAAGAACTCTTATCTTTGCTCTTGGCTTCCACGCATGAAGAAGAGAGAAGAAGAGAACTCTGGAAGCTTTAGATTTTTGCTCCCCACCATTTCCACGTAGGTTATTATATAACCATAACATAATTTAATTATTTCCTTACAAATGACCATCTTGTCATTCTATTCCTCCTTCTTTGCAATTCAATCCTACACAACATTTCACATATAAGTCCTTGAACTATTCAATTATTCTACTTTAATCACCAAATTCTAAAATTTAACAATTTAGTCACTAACTCGGTATTGAGGATGTTACAAATTTCGTATCATTTTAGCACACAAAGTGCCCTATACTGAAATTCATACACTTAGTATGAAGTTCTTAACATTTTAGCACATGAAGTACCCTATACAGAAATTCATACACTTAGTATGTATTTCTTAACATTTTAGCATACTTAGTGCCATTTGGTAATCATCATACATACATCAATAATTCATAACACTATGACTATTATAACATATACGTACATAATTAAATGCACTCACATGGTTTGCATTTCTTAGATATCCAAAAATAGGAAGATGATTACTCCGGAACTAGGCCCTTGCCTTTTTCCTTACTCGACTTGGGAGCTTGATTTCGATCTATCCCAGATTCATTAAATACAAGTATAATATCAATTATTAGTGCATTTCCTAACAATTATAACTTAAACATTAATAAAAAAGTACTTATTATTAATACTTTTACAACAATATAAGCATAACTTAAAATTTCTGGTTCTTCAGTATCGATACTCTGACAATGGTATCGATACTACCCTACTATGATATCGATACCCCCTTTCGATATCGATACCAAAATTAGATTCGATATGGCATGGTATCGATATCCTTACCATGGTATCGATACTACTATATTATTGTACCGATACCCTCTTCTGGTATCGATACCAAAATTAGGTTCGATATTATCTGGTATCGATGCCCTTACCATGGTATCGATACTACCTCGTCGCTACCGATACTGATTGAATCAATATCAATATTTCTCATCTAATTCAGCCCAATTTTTGCCTATAGTATCGGTACTGTTCTATCAGTACTGATACCCATGCCCAGATTTTCCAGTTCTCAACCCAAGACATACCCAAATTTGGCCAATTTCCCCCACATTTACCGCTAACAATACTATATAACTCTTTTCTTCTTAACCATACTAATTTTCCTTCGTTTAGATACTTAAAACATCTAGTATCCCTCAATAGCATTTGATTCTAAGAATCACGCCACAATTTATAACTTGTTTTTACACTCATCCAATACTTCTAATATTTCATTTACCTTATTGACAAGTCAATTCTACCAATAAACATCAATAAACCGTCATATATTAACATATCATTATAAAACCCATTTTCTAAAATCTCCTTTATTTCCCTTATCTCATTGTTTTAATCCCATCTAAACCTTCCTTAAGCTTCCATCATATACAAGGATTCAATAACCATAAAAAATTGAAGGAATAAACCATTAAATTGAAAACTTACCTTTGAGCTATGGGGAAGTTCTTCTATGGGTAAAGAGGAAGAAGAAGGAAGAGAACTTTTTAACAATCTAATTCCCTTTTCCCCTTATCTTTAATACCAATTTAAAATACACTTTAATTTCTCTTTCATTTAAAAGACTAAAGTACCCTCTTAATAATCCATTAACACAATTTAGTCTAAACCAATAATCCTAATCATTCTCATCTTATATCATTTACTCAAATAAATTCTCCTATTTTGAATCATTTCAATATAGTCCCTAAATCGATATTTGGAGCATTACATACTTAAACTTTTACTTGAATCATCCTCCAGCTTATTATATATCCTCACCACTCCATCAGTGTAAGCTTCACAAAAATAAGAGAAACCAAATTAAAAATGAAACATTCCATGAATATTAATGCACAAGTATTTAAGAAAAAACACCGATAGTTCTCCATTACCTGTTGCCAAATTAAGTCCATCAGGGAGAAACACAACCCTAGCGATATATAATAATTACATTTTTCTAAAAATCAACAGTATTAGAAATCAAGGGGAAGTAAAATAAAATGCACCTACAACTTGTGTTTTGAACCCTTTTTAATCCCATTCCCAATCAATAGAAAATAAAATAATTACCTTTGTCAGAGGCGTGAAAGAGGGATTTAGGGTGAGACCCTTGAACTAAAAAGTAATCTTTTGTTTACAATATAGAATATTGTTGGATCTCTCCTTAATTGGAGAAGTTCTAGAAAATTCTAGAGTTTTTTGGAGAAGTGTAGAATTTTCTAGAGCATTTTCGGAGAACTCTAGAAAAGTGTAGAATTCTCTGGAAGCTTGTAGAAGAGTGTGGAATCCTCTAGAATATTCTGGAGATGTGTGGAACCTTATGGAAGAGTATGGAAGAATATGGAAGGGAGTGGAAGAGTGTAGAGATTCTTAGAATGTATGGAGCATTTTAGATAATTAATCTCCACCCTTAGATGTAAGTAATCTCCATCATTCATTGTGGAGGTGGAGTAGTATAAATAGGGGTGAGAGACTTCATTCCTAACCATCCAAGAGTTCCAAAAAATACTAAGAGAGTCCACTTCTTAGAGTGAGAAACTAGAGAGTTAGATAGATTCTTTGAGAGAGAAGAGAGATAGCTTGGGAAGTCTTTATGCTCAAGCTTGAGAGATCCACCGAGTGTGAGTCAAATTTTGTGAACACATCCTTGTAATCCTACTATTCTTTTGTATAGTGTAAGAATCTCCAAATTGGAGAATTATACTATTGTGCTCTCTTTACTATCATTAATCTCTAAATGCCTATCTTAACTTCACGAATCGGGAAAGATCGTGATTCCCAACAAATACTAATAAACCAACAATACTGAAAAAAACAAAAAATGCAACAACAAAAAGAAACAATATAAAATTACTCAAATATATCTTCAGTTTGAGAGTAATTATTTATACCAAAACAAGAAACAAAATATAGTATCTGTAAACCCAAAACATTATTAATCAGTCAAAAGATAGATACCAGTTCATTAAAGTAAAAGAATTTAGGCTAGGTGAGCCCAATTTGAAATTTCTTCGGATATTGTAGTGGTAATCCCTCCATTATCAATTATGCCATTCCAATCTCCATTTCCATGCATCCTCTGCATTACACGGTTTTCTTGCTAAAGTTCATTTTTCTTGGAGGAGTAACTTCCTAATGCGAGCTAAAAGGGAACTTCTCAGTTTCCAAACATACCTGTCAATAAGAATAAGAAAGGTAAGCACACCGATTAAAAAAGTAAGAAGAAAGTGCAAATGGAAGAAGGAGCAACCTGCTCGTATAACAGTCACACTTCACTTTCTCAATATGTTCGTCTAATAGCTCCGACGGATTTATGTTCCAGTCACATGTGTATACGGTAAGTTGGTGGCTTGCTTCAGCATGGTTTCTAAAAGTTGTATTCTTTCACATTCTTTTGATATTACACCCATTTTCAAGACTAACAATCGAATTCAGTAACACAGTAGAGAACTCCGTTGATATTCATTGATCAAAGCATTGAGAGGAGAATTTATAAAGCTGTAAAGTAAGCATTACGTGAATGTAATGGGCCAAAGGCAGTAGCGGCTTCAGGCTAGGATAAAAATGTTAGAGGTATTTTTTTCGGCAGAAAAAAAACTAATTTTATGATAGTTTATACATTAATTTAATTTATAACTTTTAAATTTTACTTCTTTATAAAATTTTATAATATTTATTTAATTCAATTTCATAAAATTTAATGAAATCAAATTAGAATGACATTTAAAGTATTTTTTATCATCTTATGATTAACGTAAATATATTTTAAACATCACAATTTAATTTCATCTATAAAAAAATTTAAGATTAATCATCTTAATTCCAATTTAATGTATTTTTTTTTATCTCAATATGACTGTCAAATTTATGGAATACATGTTGTAGACATAATAGGTGTTTGATGATTAAATATTATTGCATAAACGAACAAAACAACTAACATGCTACATAATTACTAATTTATCTCCAATATCATATTTCGATCTAAGTTTCTCTGCACGCTCTATAGCTTTGGATGTCCTCTAAATATCGGTAGGGGTAATAACAATCTTCTCGAGCACAATAGCAATCTCGATCAACAACATATATAATTCAGTATCAACAATTTTTCCAACAAACCCACTTATTTCCACCACTTTCAGGTTATGATGAACACTTTTTTGACGTTTCTCAAATCTCTTAAAATAACTACAACCTCCCCATTCAAACTGCAACACCCAAAAATTATGTATACGCATTATTACTACAAGCCTTAGATAGAAAGAAATTAATCTAAAGTCTTGGTTAAAAGTGCTTACATCCAAAGCGAATCGGTGCAAGGAAGGGCAAGCTTTGATCCACGAAGACAAGAAAAGAAGTCTATACATATTATCTCCATAAATCCTCGGTTCCATCTGCTTCAGCTGATTCATTAGAGGGTATTCAAGCCTTCTCACCGTGTTCTGAAGTATCAAACCAAGAATTAGAGTTTAAAATTTAACCATAAAGACAACAAATTTAAAGCTACACAAGGAATTTCAATTCTTCAAACTCACCTCCACATATCCTATGTCGAGTTGAAGCTTACGGAGCCGAGGGAAAAATGTTAAAATCTGCTGCAACTTACCAGTAAGTGCCTTCCCGATGCATAATTCTATGAGGTTTGGAATATTCTCAAAGGGAATATTTATATATGGTCCACAATATTTGAGAGTTAAAAGGTTGGTGGCAACAACTTCCAAACTCTTCAACCTTGAACAACCATATATCTCCAAGTATTTCAAGCGGAGAGATGGACCAGCGACTCTCAGATGAACAATTGAGAATGAAATTTAACGCATAGGCATTCTAGAAACGGACTATTGGATATAAAGTTGACAAGAACTTTCTCATTTACTCCTACGTATTTCAGTACAAGAGCTGTGAGGGGAATAAAACTCGGTAAACCAAGCTTCAATGGACACTAAGTGTACATGTACTTTGCACGTGAGAAATCCAATTCTATTCTTTTAGCTTTCTTTTCAAAAACAAACTTGACCCATTTATCAATGTCATGCTTATGAAGTATGTCGTGATCAAAGCAAACCTTGAATTCATCAATAGCAGGTAGAGGGTATGATTCCACGACCTGATTCACCACGCTCACGAACCTAACCTTTTCTGAAGCTACAAACTCACTGATACTCGTAGAACCAAAAGTTCGGTTTTTGATTTTACTCGATGTGTTTGAAGCATCAAACTCCAAACGTGGGAGTAAGGTCCATACGGATCTCCATCGTCGTGAAAGAAGGCTAGTTTTTGCTGCTACTTTCGTCGGCAAACAGGAAATAATGAGAACCAGAACATCATCCGGTAAACTTTCTCTTAAAGCGCATTGCATAAGGAAGGGAAAACAAAGAATAGAGTAGATATATTAGTAAAAGAAAGAAAACATAGAAAATTAAGTTACATCTGTAAACAAACACATATTTTGGAGATTAAGAAAAAAACCTTCTGTTTCATCTGTTTTTTCAAAGTATGCTGCTTAAGTTCTGGTTCAAATCTTTCCATTCTAAAGTTCCAAACTTGATGCAAATCAACTACGTTAGCAGCCAGCAAAGTGATCAAACCATACAATCAACAAACAAATCCATTATAAAAAAATCAAATTGTAGTGCGAATAAACAATGTTAAAACAACACAACTAAAGATACAAACTTTCTCTCCATCTGTCAAAAATATAATGATGATGACGATGATAACAGCTTTGAATTTGAATTGCTAATTGGAATCTGTATTAATATCTCAGAATGTAATCATAAAGAGATCAGTTACAACAGCCCTTTAAATCTATACCCCTGAACAAGCCTTAGAGAGTACAAGACAGGCGGCAATGACCATCCTATTGCATTTGACATGCATGCTTGTGGCCATATAATTGTTTTCAGTAACCCAATCATCAACCGACCGTCTACCTTTGTTTCTTCTGCGGAAATAATATATATATAAAATAAAGGTTTAATATATGTTTTAACCCCTACACTATTGTTAAATTATCAAATTTTATTTTAAATTTTATTTTATTTAAATTGACTTTTGTATTATCATTCCGTTCATCGTTTTAATCTATTAATAAAGTTGATTAGACTAACCAAACACAATCGAATGTCGAAATAATTCTAAAAATATAGTAATTTCTTAAAAAAACAAAACAAATAATTCTAAAATATCACAAAAAACCTTAAAAATTCATAATTAGCACTAATATTATCGGATCTTTTGAAAAATGTAATTTTGCTTATTAAAATTTTAAAATAATTTTAAAATATAAATATATATATATATAATTTTATATATTTTTTAATTTCAATGAATCTTTTAAATGATTTTAAATTCTTTATAATTTTATAAAGAAATTAAACATTATTTTATATTTTGAAAACATAAATTTCAAAAACAAATTCTAAATTTTATAATTTTGTAAGATATTTTTTTTGCTTTCATGATTTTTTTTAATTTTTTTAATTTTAAATTTTTAATTGTTTTAACACTTACAACATCTCATTAAATCATATCATATTTAACAAAAGAATGACGAGAGATTAAAATTACAGAGAAAGTATAGTGCAAAAGATAAATTAGTCTCGTTCAATAGGGTGAGCAAAACTCGACTTGACTCGAAAAACTGATTTTTTTACTTGATTCGACTCGAATTGACTTCGAGTTGTAATTTCATAAACTTGACTCGACTCGAAAAAATTTCAAGTTCAAATTGAGTTGTAAAATACAACTCGAATAACTCGAAATTTTAAATTTGAACTTGAATTGAGTTTTAAACTTTAAATTAGAATTAGATAAACATAGAATGTATTAAATCTCATCGACCCAATTTTGATCTAGCTCATGAACACCTCAAGTCAAACTGATAAAAGAATTTCTACTTGGTACCAAAATAATAATTTAACTACATCAAGGATCCAAAACAAGAATTGTGCCAAAAGTAAAATATCTTGTATAGAGATTCAACGCCCCACCCCCATCACCACATGTGGTTCCAAGAATTATTCCAACACCAACTTTTTGGATATCTATGCTTCACTCTGGCGAAAGCAGAGGCCACAGACATTAGTTATTGCGAATATGTACATGCATATAAAGCTTAGCTTATGTATCCTTATATTTGCCATTTATGTTGCTAAATTCAAACTGTTTAGAGGGCATGGAGCATCAAGATTCTAAAGTGATTACTCCGTCTCACCGGACCAAGGAGATCGATAACGTCAACATCCCGGAAAGCTCCTGTAAACTTCCATCTTAGTCTCGAGCTTCTTTCCATGAATAGAATATATGATGAACGAAAACATCCCTTCTAGATTGATATGCCTTCTAACTTGCAAATGTGGGCTAAAATCTACCCAAGCATGTATGTTTTTAGTGTTTGATAGATGTCGGATTGTTTATCGATATATAACTAGATATGTAGTCCAGTATATAGTTTCGAATAACGAACAGGTTTAACATGTTATGCAGATGATGAGGTAAATGATTCTCCCATAGAGCAAGTTCGACTCACTGTCCTGATTAATGATGATACGACATTGCCATGTTTGACGTTTCGAACATGGGCTTTAGGGATAACCTCGTATGCTGTTCTGTCATTCTTGAACCAGTTCTTCCAGTATCGCCAAAATTCATTGCAAATATCTTTGGTCTCGGCACAAATCGTTGTTCTTCCACTTGGAAAGCTTATGGCAGCATATCTACCTCGCAAATTGCTGAAGATTCCTTGGACAAAATGGTCGTTCTCATTAAATCCAGGCCCTTTTAACATGAAAGAGCTTGTCCTGATTACTATATTTGCAAATTCTGGTTCTACCTATGTTTATGCAGTGAACATTATTACCATTGTTAAGGCCTTTTATCACGGTCAGATACACCCTTTGGCTGCTTTGTTGTTAGCTCAAACTACGCAGGTCGGTTTTTCTTTTATTACGGACGTAACGGATGCTATTGTGGTCTTATCTGTTGCTCACCATCATTATTTCTTTTGGAATATTTACATGCTTGGATATGGATGGGCTGGAATGTTCCGAAAGTTCCTTGTTGATTTGCCATTTATGTGGTGGCCTAACAACCTGGTGCAGGTCTCCCTATTTAGGTTCTTTCTCTTTGGATTCTTTTTATTATCTCCTATTACCCTAGAACTGTTTGCAATTTCCAACTCGTAATTGTAATCATAGGGCATTGCATGATGACGAGGTTCGGTCTAAAGGTGGCCTAACGAGGCTGCAGTTCTTCCTCGTGGTGTTCATATCAAGCTTCGCATACTATATTGTTCCGAACTATCTTTTTCCATCAATCACTGCTTTATCTTTCGTTTGTTGGTTATGGAAGGACTCGGTGACAGCCCAAATAATAGGAGCTTCGAGGTGGACTTGGGGTCGGATCGTTTTCCTTGGATTGGTTGACAGTGGCTAGCTTTTTACAATCTCCATTAGCTACCCCTGCATTTGCTATAATTAACCTAATGCTGGGATTTATCATAGTTGTTTATATTAATCCCTATAGCTTACTGGAGTAACTCGTATGATGCTATGCGATTTCCAATCATCTCGTCACACGTGTTCGCCGACGATGGCGGAAAATACAATGTTTCAAGAGTTTTGAATTTCACAACCTACGAATTCGATCAGCAAGGATATGATGGCTACAGTAAAATTAACTTGTCTTCTTTGTATATTCTTATGGTATTAGTTTTGCCACACTGGCCGCTACAGTGTCTCATGTTGTATTTTTTCATGGACGGTAAGGTACTTATATGCTGAGATTTAAAATTCGGTAGCCGAAGCGTTTTCGATAAAAATAAAAAATACTTTGTATTTGCAGCACAATCTGGGAACAAACAAGATCAGCATTGGGGGATAAGTTAAGTGATGTTCATTGTAGATTGATGAAGAAAAACTACAAATCAGTCCCACAATGGTGGTTTTACATGCTGTTGATTATTGTAATCGGACTCACCGTGCTTATTTCCGAAGGCTTTGGCAGACAATTCCAACTCCCGTACTGGGATTCCTTTTGGCGATTGTCTCGGCTATGTTCTTCACTCTCCCGGTTGGCGTGATTATGGCTACCACGAACCAGGTATATTTCTGAACCACACCATGTTCATCTGCTAATTTGTTATATTCAGCTCACCATATCTATATATGCAGCAACCGGGACGAAATGTCATTACTGAGCTGATTATCGGTTACATTTATCCCGGAAAACCACTGGCAAATGTTGTTTTCAAGACCTACGGCTATATAAGCGCGGCGCAGGCAATAATGTTTCTGCAGGCCACTATATGAAAATTCCTCCAAAGTCGATGTTTGTTGTGCAGGTAATTTCTGAACTACACAGATTCATTACTTGTAACGATATATAGTTAGCTAGCTTTATGACTTGAAATGCGCGGATTATTGAAGCTGGTCGGAACAGTGGTGGAGTCTTGTGTCTATTTCGGGACTTCTTGGTGGCTGCTCACAACAGTGGAGAATATCTGTGATCCATCTAAACTGCCACAAGGAAGCCCCTGGACATGCCCTGGAGATGACATATTCTTCAATGCCTCCATCATTTGGGGAGTAGTCGGACCATTGAGAATATTTGGTCGTATCGGATTGTACTCTAAGATGAACTACTTCTTTCTTATCGGCATCCTCGCACCATTTCCTATATGGGTACTGTCTCGTATGTTTCCGTACCAAAAGTGGATTAAACTCATTAACATGCCTTCAATCGTTGGAGGTTCCGGGTATTTGCCAGCTGCCAGGGTTGTGAACTACTGGTGTTGGGGTACCGTAGGCTTGGTGTTCAACCTTTTTGTGTATATGAGGTACAAGGGCTGGTGGGCTCGCCACAACTGCATTCTATCAGCCGGGTTTGATGTTGGGGTAGCTTTCATGGCCATCCTTTGCTACTTCACATTACAGATGTGGGATATTAATGGACCTTGAAGATACTAATTTTTTTTTTACCCATTTTATTTATTTATTATTATTATTATAATAATATTATTATTATTATTATTAAAAAATAATTACAGGCCCAATGAAAACTGGACCGGCCCAGTTACAAACAGAACCGGCCCAGACCATAATAAAATCCTAAATATTTAGGGTTTCAGCTAGGGTTTCTAAACCCTAGCACTGTTGCCGTCGTCGCCGCCTCCAAGAACTCCCAACAGCCGCCTCTGCCGACACTTCCCAAGCCAGATGGTCCAACCAGCTGCTGCCACGCCGCCGCCTAAAGGAACACTCTAGAACGCCATATGGCAACCAACAACCTTCCCCACAATGAGTCACCAGCCTAGCTTTGGTGACTCACCGAACTTTTCATCCTTCAGACCGGTCCGAGCAAGCGACCGAGATGGCTATAAAGCCATCGTACCTGCAAAAATGAAAAAAGGGAGGAGAACCGAAAGACAGGGAGAACAGGAGAATCAAAAGCAACCCAGCAACCATAAAACACTAAAATAATCAGGAAAAGACGGAGAGATATTTACCGAGGAAGCCACGCCATCACCGAAATTCATACGAACCTCCACGAGTCACTGAAAACCTTCGAAAACCGAAGGTATTTTCTTAGATTTGCTTCGATCAGGAGCCATTTAAGGAATAAAGACACCAGAACCGTCATTAGGACGGTCCGATCTACATTTTGGTGTAAAAATGATATTTTTCGGCCACCGAATGCGGTGGCTGGCGGTGGGGATTACGGCGGCAGACGGCTGCCAGCCGATGACTGGCTTCCCTCAGCTAGAGAGAAGCGAGAGAGAATTCTCTTCTCTCTCAGTTAGAGAGAGAAGAGAAAGAAGAGAAATGAAACGCTGGCCCTTCGGGCTAGCTGGAAGGGGATTATATACCCCTTCCCAAACGACGTCGTTTTGGGGAGGGGTATATGTAATTTTGCTTTCGGATAAACTATTTCCGCAGCCACTGTAACTTTAAAAAGTTTCAATTTGATCCTTATAGTATGTTTCTATATATTATAATTCGATCTAGTAATTTTATTTCATTTTATTTTAGTCCTTTACATAATATAATATATATATTTAGGATAAATACCTAATTTAGTCCCTTATAGTTTAGTAATTATCATTTTAACACAAATTAATTAATAAGGATAAATTACATTATTAGCACTTAGATCTTTTTATTCGAGTTAGAGTATTTAATTTTAATAATTATAATTTTAATCACTTATTAATAATTAGGTTTAATTACATCATTAGTAATTATATTTTTATAATACTATAAATAAGGGCTATAAATTTTAATATTTTATATTATTTTAATTTTATATGTTTTAGTCACTAATGTTAATTATAAGTCTTATTGCTTTTTTTTATATACTTATTTTTAAATTTATTTATCTTACTCATTATTTATATTTTAATTTTATATGTTTAAATTATTATTTTCATTATTATTATATTAAAATAAATTATTTTTAAAAAAATGTTTTTAATTATTATTTTATTTTTTAATATCGAAGAAAAGAGCTGTCTTAAAACACCTAGAAGTCTTTTTCTGATATTTCTAAATAAATAAATATTTTATTTATACATATTAATATATTTTCTTTAAATTATTTGAAATAACATAATTATGAATTAAATATATCTTTGAATTTCTAAATTTCAAATAATAGAGACAATTTATAATTAAAAAGTACCAATTTTGGGCGTTGTAAGGGTGCTAATCCTTCCCTAAACATAACCAACCACGAATCCCTTTTTATTATTAAAAAGAACGATTTTTTGGTTAAAACGCAGATCAATTTATCTTTTAATCGATGTTTTCTTAAAAACTCTTTTAAAGGATGATTTTTAGGTATTCGACCTACCTAATCCAAATGGCCGATGGCGACTCCCAAATTATTTAAAAAAAACCATTTATTCACATCACTTTTCCCGCCAAGTAAAAAATTCGTGCCCGGACGAAAATCGGTTACAACAGCTTAGCGACTCCACTGGGGATTGGTCAAACTTTAAAACCAATTATTAATTGTCCCTATCAATTAGAAAATTAAAAATTCATATATTTAATTTTTAATTCTTTCTTTTCAAAATTTTTATATATATACTTATTATTTTCATAATATTTATATGTTATTTAATGCTTTATTTTCAAATATTAAATTTTATTATTTATTTGTTAGAGGTTTGAACATTTCTCCTCACACACAACACTTGCATTGCATAACATAAAGCTCTATAATTGAGTTTGTCCCTTTTAAGTGGGAGTGAAAGCGACGTCTTCGTGAGAATTTATTCTCCGTGACAGACCTAGCAAGTAACTTTCGGGGTTCATATGCTCTATGTCTTCGTGAGAATTTATTCTCCGTGTCAGTCATAGAGAAATGTGTCCCCTCGAATTGAACTCGATCCGCTTAAGTCTGTAATTGACTAGAATTGAGGGTTTGACAGCCCAAGAGGGCATCAACAAGAACAGTTCGAGTACCTTTACTCCTAGAAATGAAACTCCGCATATAATAAACCCTAGAAATTCACCTGATCTAAGACAGTACTGAACCTCTGTTCATAGGTGTACACAAAGGAGAAATAAGTTCTAACTTTTAATTTATTTAATTTATTTATTATTTTTCTCTTTGAATAAATGCTTGCGAACTAGTAATCATGTTGTTCGGTTAATTTTTCCAAACAAAGCATGGAACTAGAAAACATGAGGTTAGAATATATTATATACCATGATAGGTAGAATATTTTCTTTTCATTAATTGGTACTTACCAATTTATTTATTTCCTTTCTCACTTTTATTTTTCATACATTGTGTTTTGTTTTAACTTGTTTATATTGATTTCTTTTGTTTTGTGCCTGCATTACATGATCATGGCATAACCAAAAGGTGTTGACTTGAAAGACTGTTCATCAAACTAGAAAGAAATCGTAAATGGACAAAAAGTTTTATGATCAAACAAAATATGATGCGGCCAAGGAAAGACATCCTGAAGAAACTACGAGGATCAAGGGAAGTTCTGTACATAGAGAACCGGTTATATTAATACCAAAAGTATTACACAAAGATCCTACCAGATTGATACCAAAAGCAGTCTATGGTAATAGCATCAGTCAAGGCATTCAGAGTGGAGAAGGTTTTTATGAAGCTCAAGCATGTTATTTGAAGGACTTGAACAACCAAAACAAGAAATTGAGCACAGAAATGAAAACCATGCATGAAGATTTTCAGAAGATCAGTCAAACCTTTCAAAATGCTGGCCTAGGAAATACCCCAGAAGAATGGATAACAGGGGTCACCAAGCTGAAAAAGAGCTGCAACATATATGAGGATCTTGTTCAAGAACTTCTTGGACAGAAAGTTTCTCTTACAAGGGAAAATGAGCAACTCCGAGAAATGACACAGAAGATGAAAGAAAATGTCATGGAAGAAGTTACAGTCCAGACAAGCAATATGGTCCTTAAATGATAGATTTAGCTGACTTTACAAGGAGATGAAGCAGATTGAAGACTCAATGGAAACTAACTGGGCTTTGGAGAAGTTAGGAATGAAATATATCCCTATATGTAAAGTTTTGTTTGATGTACCCAAACTTTTGCATTCAATGAAATCTGTTCTAAGATGATCACTCTTGAGTAACACCTTTTCATACATGCATTTGTGCTTTGCATTTGTACATTTTTACGTTTGTATTTACATTTACATTTTTAAATTTACATCATGCATTAAAACATATTTAATTAAATAATAATGTTTATTTATTTTCAATATCAAAGAAAAGGGCAGTCTTAATATAACTAGATGTCATATTCTGGTATTTTAAATAATTTACATTTACATTTTTACAATTGCATATTTACATTTGGCATCTTTGCATTTGTATTTTTATGTTTGCTTTTATATTGCACAATTTGCATTTTTATTGTTACATTCACATATTTACATTTGCCTTTGGCATCTTTGCATTTTTTATGTCATAATACATTAAAACATTCATTCATAAAATAAGGATTTCAAACGAAGTGATCTTGGTTTTTCCTTGAAGCAAGAACGCTCAGCACGACACAAGAAAAATGTCTAAAGAAACTGAGGATAGGCTAGCAAAATTTGAGATAGAGCAGAAAGAAATACAAGAGGAATTAAGGAGCAAGTTGGCACAAATTGAAGCTAATATCACAAATTCTCATATCGATCTACTGAACAATATGAAAGAAATGATTGAGAAGCATCAGACCGCTGGAAAGAGTCTTGTTGAAAACCCCATAAATGCTTTGGATGTTACACCTGTTCATATTCTTGAGTTCACCTCTGTACCCCAGGAAATTCAATCACCGATTTACTTCGCTGTTAAGAACTCACCATATCAAGTTGGAGCATCGTTCCCCACTGATTGTCCTATTACTTCTGAGTTGAAGCCTGGTGAATTTTGTATTAGTAATGAGGTCCTTGACCTAAACAAATTAGTTGAGAAGGAAAAATTTACTCAACGACTGGAAAATATAGAAGAGGTGATAAAATCTAAAGAGACAGTTGAGTCATTTTATGGGTTTGATGCCAAAGAACTAAGTTTGGTCCCTGG